CCAACATTTGCAACATCAATTTGAATACTTTTCGAAGTGAATTTGAAAAACTCATGAATTAAACTCAACTTTATTTTGTTCAAACTTGCATTTGCTGTAATAACCCAAATTGAGGAACATTCTCCATTCTTAAGTTTCTTTTCGAATGCTCACTACTCGAATTCAATTTTGTGCCCTTGCTCGTATCTGATTGCTGTCATCTGTCATTAAAGCAAACAGTACCGTGACATATTCTTATTCTATGCTATGACCGTAAACTCGTAAACAAAAAACAACTGTAGATCTGTTGGAATTTTGAATTTAAAAATTGAGATTGTCTTGGATTCACTATTCATCCACTCCTCAGCGATTTTTGATATCAAAATAAATAATTTTCCCATGTGTTACCTTGAGAAGAAAAAACGTATCACATATTTTATCAAATCATATCAACTCACATATTTATATGAAAACACCGTCTTCAAAAATGTTGCGTCTTGGCAAAAGTCGAGTGATTTCAGTCACAATTGTGGGTTAGGTTAGGTTAGGTTAGTTCTGAAGTGAGTGGGTCTATTCAACCCTCCACCGCAACTCGCAAGAATTTATTGTGGCCCACACCTATTTACACTCGGCCAAATAAACCCATCTTCTCAACGAAGCCGATTAATTTGTATGGTGGGTCGGTAGTTTGACATTAAATCATTGACAACACTACTCTGAAGGCAATATTCAAAATTTCAACTTGTAATAACTTTTCGATACCATTCAAGAGGTCCACAAAGTATGCGGCATTCAGGTTAATTTACTCAAAAGTCAAAATTAGGAGAAACATTGATTACTGCTAAAAAGAATTATAGTTGCAAATACTCAAAAATTTGTATACTCGTTTATACAAATATAAAAGGCAGTTCTCAATAATGATTAGAAGAGTTAGCTTTCCAGAAGATATGAAAATCGGTAAACCGTTTTCCCCATTAATCTAGATTTCTCAGATTCACCAATGAGTTCAGAATTGATCCGATGGGTGCATTTATTGGTCCAATTGAAACGTTAACGCGTTTCTATCAGTAGAAACTATCCATCGGATGTTTTCTGTTGGATTTTAAATCTTGCCAATTTTTTTTTGTAACTATCATATATATTTTGTTATACAATAACCATAGTAAAAATTAACCAGTAAGTCCACTCCTACTACTTTCATTCATAAATTCACAAAATTCTCGATGAGCCAATTTCGTTCTTTTACCATAGGCGTGCCCTCATATAAAAACGAAATTTAAGGTTACTATGGAATATTTTGTGGTAAATTACTTATAACCAACTACAAAAACTAAACTAACTGAAAAAACAATAATCACAACAGCGAATAAACTAAACTCAATATCAATTTCCAACCGTTTATCATAACTAATCCAATGTCCGTGGTACCGTCAAATCCTTCGATACTACAGCACTGAACGCGTTGGATGAGAATCTCATCCTAAGAGCGATTGAAGGTCCCCGGCAGCTCGGGGGGATCACGTGGTAAGAGAGCCTACTAGTTGCATTATTCTACTGTGAAATAACTATGAATCAAAAAAGAGCACTGGTCATAATAGGGCTAAATCTGAAAGCTGGGACCAAAATTAAGAAGAAGAAGAACTGTGAATCATCCCAGCGAGTAAATATGACTGTGGATGCCTGTTACCAACAACTGAGGATAAAAACAATATTAAGAAGAAAATAAATTGTCACCTTAACCTAGTTTCATCAACATGAAATTTCACATTTCCATATTTTATTTTCAGTATCTGTAGACATAAGAATACTTTGAATATTAAGTGGCTTTTTGTTGTTGAAAATGACCCGATTTGCAAGAGCTAAAGGATCGAAAGCATCTAATGAACGTGTTCCTGAACAGGCAACATCATGGGCAGAAATGAAGGAACAGTTAAATTTGAAAAATAAGGAAATTGAGGATGCTAAGAAAAGAGAGGAATTCATGAATCAAAGAAATGCAAATTATAAAGCATTTTTGGATGAGAGGGCTCTAGAAAATAAAAAGTCGGAGTGGTCAATTTTTCCAAATGCAAACAAGGGAAAATCAAACATGAGTAATGGTGTTTCCAGCCATAAGAAGAGGAAAAACTCTTTCAATTCCATGGAATTCGATGATATTTCCTCTAACGATGAGACTTATAAGGACCTAAAATCTAAAGTCGACAGTGTTTTAAATGTTACAGAATTTCTTAAGGGTAATAGTGATTCTCCTGCTAATGAGGGAAGTTGTAAAAATAAGAAAAAAAATAAAAACAAGAAAATGAAAAGTTCGTTGAGTAAAGATGAAAGTTGTCCCGATAAATCAAAAGAAAATCAGATTTTGTCAAAAGATTTCAAACATGAAATGGATAAAACATTGGGTAACAAAAAATTTGAAAACGAGAGTGACAGTGACGCTCCTCCAGATGAAGAAAGCTCTAAAAAAGAAGTTCCGGCACCAATTGTTAAAGAGAAAAAAATTAAAAAGAAAAAGCTAAAAATATTGGTTGATCAAAAAATTAAAGATGGGACAGTTAAAAAAGATCAAGACTTCACTAAGAAATCAGAAACTGAAAATGTTAACAAGTCGAAAAAGAAGAAAAAGAGAAAGATTGTTGAGGAAGAAAATAAGGATAACAAAATTGAAATAAATGAAAATGTTACCAATGAACAGCCTTCAGAAAAAAAGAACTTGAAGAAAAAAGGTACAAATTCCAGTCTTTCCATTAGTAACCAGCCAGAAAAGAAATCTAAAGAAAATCTCACGGAACAAGTTTTGAAAAAAATTGAAAAGAAGAAACAAAAGAGAATTAAACAACTCGAAAAAAAGAAAAAAATGAAGGAGCAACTGAAAAAAGAGAAATTGTCAGCAGAACAAAGTGTTCCTGTGCAGGTACTTGATTCTTCACCTTCAAAAGACCTATCAAAAGATGTACATAAGAACAGAACAAGCAACTCAAATGTTGCTAAAGACAATAATAATTTCAGAGACCCAACAAAATTCAATAAAGCTGAGAAACGACCACCAAAGATAAGAGATAGAGAAGAACATAAAAGAAAAAAACCATATCTGCCCCATAAAATGTTTATAAATGGTAAAGAAGTAGAAGTTGATTACGTTGACGGATTCCCTGTTAAAAAAGAAGATGCTGATAGGTTAAAGAAATTACGGAAAGACATGATAGCTAAAGGTTTGCCGGGAAGTGAAATCAAGATCTCTCTTAAGCTGGAACGTAGAAAGGCAGAAAAGGCATTTGCTAGAGAAAAGAAAAAGGTATGAGGTTGATTCTGAACTTATATACAGTGTGTCATATTGCACTTCCGGAGTGTAGATATCAAAAACTAGTTTGTTGAAAAAGTTTCAGATACCAATGCACTGGGCTTTTCTGAAATACTCTCCAATATACAAGGTACACAGTAGAAGCATGGCATATCAAAGTCAGATTATTTTTGATGGAATGACATGTAATTTTCTCCATATTTAGATTCCAACAGAAAAGTACTTTTGTAAATATAAGTTTGTAAGTGTATATACGAACGGTTCAAAGTCAAAAATGAATCTATTCATCTATCTCCATTTTGAATGGAAACTTGTTTCAAAAGTCTCTTTCAAGATTTTGAAAACGTGCATTTTTTTAATTATCAAATAATAACTTGACTAAAAACTTGTTTCTGCTAGAGGGTGAATCAAAACTTGAAAACAATTTTTCTTGATTTATTTAAATGGAACACTATTTCATTTAATTCTTCTGTTAAAAGCACTTTCTAACAATATTAGAGTTGCACAAGTAAATACCTAGAAGTTTGAATATTGGTATACCATGAAAATAAATTTTTAATACAATTTCACCCACAAAGTAATACTCAGAAGATTGTGACGTATTGTTTTCTTTCTTGGTCGTCAACAGCATCAACTACTTGGTCATTAACCTCATGCTCTGGGTAGGCAATGTTAATAATTCCTCGAGCCACTCAGCGAGCATCATGGCTATCAGCAGTCTGTCAGCCATGTAATGTTGCAGAATCATACCGGCACACTACCACTGCACCTGTTCTCTGCTGATTGTTTTTTCATATTTAAAAGTAGTTTCTGAGACACAGAAATTTAATGTTTGAAAACATCTCTTTTATTTTCAAGAAAACTTTGTTTGGAAATATTATTTCTCTCATTAGTTGACGATGTTAACATTTCTGTAGAATAATAATAATAAATGTAATTTATTGAACAAAATTACAATTTTGTTCAACTAACTGGCTATCAACCGAAGTCCTCCCGCCCGTGTAACAAAATTGCTTTGAAATAACATAGCTTATTTTACAATATAAAAAAAAAATTATAGGGATATAAAAATGAACAAACAAAACAATTTAATTGATAAAGTTGTGTTAATTTTTCTAACAGTGTTTCTGTTGGGTGTCGATGTTGTTCTCTTGCATGGGGGTTTCTTGTCACAGCATACTTTCTAATGATTTCTACATTGTCGTCTTTTCTAGCAAACTTCTGAGTAAGTGACGGTAGTCTTTTCTCGATAGGAATAATACCAGTGAGTTGGTACAGCAGAGGTTGTGTTTGGAGTTATTGGGATGCCTTAATCTTGTTATTTTCCTTATAGCCGTTGTTTCAGATACTTTAATTGTTTTCAAGGCCCTTTGTATGATATTGACAAACAGTGGGTGTGAGTATTCAATAAGTGGACGACAGAATAGTTTATATATCCGGCTTGCTGTTGATATGTTTGCACCTCCTCCCGGGTTTGTCAAACTTGTGAAATGTGCGGCTCTTGCAATCACTTTCTTTTTTTTTGTTATTGACGTGGCTATTGAAATTTAGTCTGGAATCAAGCGTAACACCTAGGTAATCAACTGTCGATTTGGCATGTAAGATATGTTGGAAAACGTTGATTGTTGGAGAAGTTGGAATTCCGATGATTAAATATGATGAACTAAGACTATGAGTTTGGCTGGAGCCTCCATTTATTGAACCAGTTATTTGTTATTATTGCAAGATGTTCCAAATTGTTGATAACTTTGTCTAGCGTTTGATTGTGTGCAATTAGGGCGGTGTCATCTGCATACTGGAGAATATATGCTTCATGCCTGAAGTGGTTGATATTCCCTTGTATAAGTTATATAACAATGGTGAGAGAGGTGAACCCTGTGGAACTTCCTGTTCTGGGATAAATTCATCTGAAAAGCTACTCAGTATTTTAACTCTCAGCTTCCTGTCAATTAGCAGATTCCAAATTGTATGTATTAGATAGTTAGGACAACCCAGTTGATGCAGTTTGGATAAAAGACTCTTGTGCCAGAATGCTTTGTTCATATCCAGTAAGATCGCTGCTGTTTTGTTGTTGTTCAGCTTGGTTGTTTCAATGTTGTTCATGAGAATCATGAGAGGATGTATAGTAGATCTTCCTTGTCTAAATCCAAACTGGTAGCTTGGAATTTTATCATTAAGCAGTTGGAGTAAACGGCTTCGTAAAAGTTTTTCAAAGTTTTTACCAATTACAGACAGGAGAGTAATCGGACGATAACTGTCTGTAAGGGAGTGATCCTTGTTAGATTTGGGAATTGTAATTATTGTGCCCATTTCCCAATTGTCAGGTATATAATGAGTTTCAAGGCAAAATTCATAGTTTTTTATGATATACTTGTGAATCTCGTAATCCAGCTATCTCAACATGTTTCTTGTGATATAGTCATGCCCTGGAGCTGAGTTTTTTCCCTGATATAAGATTGCAAAATATTCTTCATCTACATTTCTGTAGATTATTTCAATAATTTTAATATTTTTGTGTTCAATAAGTCCTTAAGTTATTAAAATCGAGTCTGAAAGCCGAAATGTTAAATAATAATTTGTGTCGAATTCATAATATATTCTTGTAAACTATTGTTATAATTACTTCTTTTTCTGTACATCCCCCATATTTTCAAAAAGTGCTTTTCACATTGAGAATAAAAAATTTTGTGTTCCATTTGAAAAGTACTAAATTTTTCGAAAGTACTTCTCTGTCGGAATCCGAAGATGAAAAATAATATATCTCATTCCATTCAAAAAAAAAACTTCTACTGGGTACCCTGCTCATTGAAAAACATGTTAAAAAAAGCCCAATGCAACGATATCTAAAACTTTCATTGAAATTTTTTTTGATAATTCCACTCCTCCATTTCAAATCCAATTTGATAATGTAAAAGACATTTGAAAAATAAAACAACTTTCGAGTAGAAACTACGAAATAGCTGATTTCTAATACTGAAAATGGAGCCAGATGGAAATTTCCGAAAAGTCAAAATGATTACTCAATAAAATTTCTAGTCCTCTTTTTTTTGAGAGGCAAAATTAATAAATGGGGCAAGTTGCTGATAAACAAAACATTTTTCTTTGATTTTTTACAGTAACTTATCGGGATTAAAAGAAGGTTTGCCATTTCTACACCTGTATAAAGTTCTCCATTACTATTTTCTATTTTTTTGTATTCTCAAAGTTGTGTTTCTTCAATTTGAAATATGTGAACTTGTTTTTCTAGGTCTGTTTCAACTGCAGGAAGTCGGGCCACAATCTGTCTGAATGTCCGGAAGTAGGTAAAAGTGAACTATCCCAAAACTTGGCTAGTGGAATTTGTTTCAAATGTGGATCAACAGAACACACTCATTTCGAATGTAAAGTGGTTAAAGGACAACAATTCAACTATGCTCAGTGTTTCATATGCAATGAACAAGGGCATATATCAAGGCAGTGTCCTGACAATACAAGAGGCCTCTATCCCAAAGGTGAGAAGTTTGTTTTTTTGTTAAATGCTTGTTTCCATACATGAAAAGTCAGTAATGATTAGTATAATTGAATGAAGCTCTCGATTTGAAATTGATGTGTTCTTATTTTTCCTCTCAGGTGGTTCTTGCAATGTATGTGGAGACGTGACGCATTTGAAGAGAGATTGTCCTCAGTATCAAGCTCAACAACAGAGGCATGAAAGTAGTATACAGATAGAAACATTCGGAGATGGTAATCCTGACGTACTTGACCAAAATAGTGCAGTTTCCAAGTTCCCTGTGAATAGAAAGCAAAATAAAATTATAAAATTCTAAAAAGTTTACTCAGATTTTCACTGTGGTCCCACAATTCTAAGAGTTGATGTGACGTTTTTCCTTCTAGATTGTTAGATCACGAAAACACACAGAAAAAGTTGGTTGACAAACGGTATTAGGGTTTCGGCAAAAAACTAGAGGGTGATACTTTTCATCAGAAAATTTACATCTGTTCTATTTTGTCTTCAAAACGTTGGTTGAGAGAGCATGACGTATCTGTGAACCTGAGAGTATTCCTGAGGAAATGCCTTCAAAGGGAATGGGTACAGCGACAAACTAATATCGGACTTTGCAATATGGACCTGAAATTTATCTGCATAACTGAGACCTGGTTGATAAACAGCGACATTTTGAGTTTTAACTTTCCTTATTATCAGCTGGTAAATGTATTTGGTAGATCTAGATACAATCGAGGTGGAGTTGCCATTTGGGCCAAAAATGATATTAATGTAGAGTCACTTTCTTTTCATGAGTATTGCATTGAAAAAGATATAGAAATTTGTGGTTTGAAATGGATCAGGAAAACACAAATATTCATAATTATTTCTTGTTATAGGTCACCTAAAGGCCACTTTGATACATTTTTTGAAAACCTCACAATGATTATGGAAACTGTATGTGAGAACAGGAGTTGCGTATTTTTGTGTAGTGACTTCAATATAAATTCTATGAAGACACATCAGTCTCTAAAATTTACTCATCTTTTAGAATCATATGGGTTACTCCCAACCAATCACACTCCCACATGTGTCACTTCCACCTGTGAAAGTATACTAGATCAAATATATACAAATGTTGAATACTGTGAGGGTAAGGTTGATATTAATACTGAATCAGACCATAATAATTTTCTACTTGCAGTACCTTCAGGTAATGAACCTTCTGTTAATACAACAATTTATGCTAGGGAAACGAGTGAGGTAAATATTAATAATTTTATAACCTTATTAAAGAAGGAAAACTGGGAAGAGGTTTACTTGGTAAACAATATGATTCAAAATGTAACGCCTTTCTTGACACATTGATTTACAACTTTGAAGCCACGTGTCCCATTAAAAACAAAAAAATTAAAAAAACCATTGGAAATGAATGGGTAACAAATGAAATAAAAAAATCATCTAAAGATTTAAAACAATTACATTACCTAAGAAAACAATTTCCCCAACACTTGATCTTGAGTATAAATTTGCCAAAAAACAACATAAAAACCTCTTGTTAAGTACGAAAAGTCAATTTTACATCAATAAAATTCAAAATTCATCGAAACAAAAGTAAGTCTACTTGGCAGATTATAAATGAGCTCAATGGAAAAAAAACCCAAAAACACGTCGCAATAAAATTACATAATGAAATTATTGAAGAACCATCAATTTTATCAAATATATTTAATGATTATTTTGTAAACATACCAAAGGAAACAATAGGAAATTTACAACACCTAAATCATCGAATTGAATATCCACAAAATAATTTTCAAACAGAGAATATGTTTGTTCAATATGTTTCTGAGATAGATGTTCTCAATGTTATAAAATATAAAATTAAAAATAAGCCCTCCTGTGGTTATGATGGAATTTCAGATGTAATATTGAAAAAAATTGCAGAATATATAGTTAAACCTCTTAACTCACGTGATTAATAAGTCTCTTGAGGACGGGATATTCCCAACAAAATTGAAAACTTCATTAGTATCTCCTATTTTAAAGAAAGGTAATCCATCTGACATAGCTAATTATAGACCAATCACTATTCCATCAGTAATATCAAAAGTAATTGAATATGTGGTTCTAAATTAACTGGTATAGTTTTTAGAGAGGAACAAAGTTATGGATAGTCATCATGGTTTTCGTAGCCAATACTCTACTACAACAGCAATTATCTCCTTCTTTGAGAAAGTATTAATAGCTACTGAGAAGGGTGAAAATCCAACAGGAATATCATGTGATTTAAGTCGAGCTTTCGATTGTGTTCAACACGAAACTCTGCTTGATAAGTTATATAAATTTGGTATAAGAGGTAAAATTCATGACTGGTTTAGCTCGTATCTGAAAGGACGGAAACAAATTGTAAAAATCTCTCATTGTGGTAAAACATCTCGGTCATCTCAAAGGAATGACATTGGGGTACCTCAAGGCTCCATTCTGGGACCAATACTATTCGTCTTATATATTAATGAGCTACTTCTGATCTTAACTGATGCATTCACTACATTGTACGCAGAAAATATTACAGATCGGATTGACAGAATCTTAGAGAAACACGACGTCAAACACACATTCAGGCCAACAAAAACTATCAGACAAAGTCTAAGATCAGCTGAAGACCCCAGAACACCCAGGGTATACCTGATCCCTTGTAACTGCGTTTTGATCTACATTGGAACCACGAAAAGAAGTGTAGATACCTGGCAAAGTAGCTGTAGCCAAACATGCTCTCAACAAAGAAGGCACTCACAATATCTCATTCTGACCATTTTAGAGATTGTTGACGTGGTACTTTTCTACTAGTAAAACCGAAAACTAAATGAGAATATTCTAACTGAACAATGATGTTCATTGTCGTTCTGACATTTTTTGTCGTGCCATATGGCAGATAGAAAGGAATATTTCTAGAAATATCGATATTAATGTGTTTGTCTTCAGGAAATTATTAAATGTTCGGCAATTTTGTAGTAGGAGAAGATATTGACTTCATATTATAGGGTTGTCAAGTATTCGTCAGGAGCTTCAAAACAATGTGTCACAAGATGCCCCTTTCCATTTTTATTTTTGTTTCACAGACGGCGCCCAGTCGCCATTTTGAAAGTTTCATCTGTCAATTTTACTTCAAAATAAAGTATTCATACATCAATTTCATTATACTAAATTTCAATTTTTTAAGTTGACCCGTTTAAAAGATAAAAGGAGGAGGGGAGGACATTGAAGAAATCCACTGTATAAACGCTAGCCACGAGCATATCGATACAGTCAAGTGGAAGTTACAGTGCGGTACGCGAAGCGATATAGTAAGGCGAGAGACATTCGAATAATAGTTGAAGTTTTAGTTGAAGTGTTTGTTGTATTTAAAGTGAAATTAAGTTGAGTTTGATCATTATTCAGTGTAGTCAATTATTGATCAAACCACGGGGGAAAACGTAACACTATTATATACTCGTATTGTGTAGTAATCTGTTGAATTCCATAAAGAATATTTGGAGTACAAACTGCATAGGAAAAAGTGTTTTGTAAAATTCAATTTTTATAGAAAAATAGTTGTTTCAAAAGTATTTATCTTTTCGTGTTATTCAATTTTTATATGAAAGTAGCTGTTTCGAGACGACTTTTCTTCCAGTTTGTGTNATAAGTATGAACATAATACTTCAATTTTTTGAAAAATGTAGCAAGAAACGATTAAAAACAACTGTATGAATCAAACTAAAAGTAACACTCGAAATGGATGGAACAAGTAACTGAATCAAAAACATGTGTAGTTGCTAGAACGTTCCTTATAGATCAAATTGTACAGCTTGTCAAATGTAGGAAGAGCTTTCTGTATTTCGTTATGGTCCCGCCCACTAGATCTGCGTTCGTTAGAAAACAGTAAGACTGAGAGAGAGAGAATAGAGAGAGAAACATTTCCCAAGTATCTTTCTAGATTTGACAAGCGGTAACTTTCTTGAAAATATTTAAATTATTTCTACTAGAGATTCTACTCAATTTTTGCAGACATCAAGAAAACACGAGTAGCTGGCAGAGGATGCTCATCAATACATAGTTAGGTCGTCATGCGACAAAGTTATAAATATGCTTTCTTTCAGTACTGAAGAAAGGAAAAGGTAATAAGACATCTCCTTACGAAAACGCCATCTGTTGGATTGACAGGAGACTCAAAGCAACAATCCCAAAGGTAGGTACATAAACGAGGCTCCCAAGGTAACTCTGAACATATGTACGTAGCCAGCGAAATTTGAGAATTAATCTCATTTAAGGAGATAAAGTGGTAGAACAAACCTGTAGTGTTCTACAATGCAGTTTTGAACTTCGCCTTTTGGTTGTTATATCCTAATTCACTCAATAAACACCATTATTATTTTTCTGTTTGATTCGGCCGTTACTTGATGACGATCCATAGTAATTTCAGAAACTACATTATTATTATTATTATTTTTACCGAAGTATGCATTGGTCAGGCCCTATCCCCCGAAGCCCCGATACATTCGGTAGGGCGCGCCAGCATTATCAACCAACGACCAATTTCCACACCGTGGGGTATGTGACCATTGGGTCCGAGAATCATGTGCCCTGAGCAAGCTCAGTGCGCCAAGAATTACAGCTTTCTGCGTCTGTGTGGCTAAGATTTCTGCTTTAGTGCGGCAAGCCGGTGTGATTTCAAAATTCGAGAGTAAAGAGGGCATCATTCCACCAAGGACTCCAATAATCAGAACCACCATCTTGACAGAGTGGTCTGGATAGAGTCTGCGGAGTTCGAAGAGAAATCCTACATATTTTACCGAATAGTTCCAATAAATTTGGCACTTCTCGTTCCCCACAACGGATTCAATATCCCACGGAGCGTAGGGCAACACCGGTGTCTCGTCAATACCGTAAGGGTGTCGTAGATGGTAATATAGCACTCTAAGGGCCGCTTTATGTCGTTGGATATAGACCGAGACCGCATATGCTGGGCATGCTGATAGCAAATGCATTAGGGTCTCGGGCGCCTCGCGGCCCTCCGCCTTGTGTCAGGAACCTCATTACCCATCACGCGACTAAAGGTCAGACAGTGCTCGACGTGAATCTTTCACAGGTGATCTTATTATTCTTGTCCAAAAAACCTGAAAACATATATTATGGAATTCTCTACCAATATTTCAAGAATAGGAAATGAAAATATTGAATTGACTAATTTGACTGACCTTAGATGTTTTTAGGTTTCGGACAGTCCCTAGCTAGAACCTTGCTTTCGTGTTAGCTTTACGATAGATACTAATCTGAATCGTTTTTAAATCCGGATCGTGAAAATTTCCTCGGTTTTATTCACTCCTGCTTACTAGACAACCCACCATCCCAGCAATATGCTGATGAAATAACGAACCTACAGGTTCTACTGATTCTTCTGAATTCAGAAATTTAAACCGTTACAAAGTGTTGAAGACACCATCCTGGCAAGCAATGATGAACCCCTCAGTTTACGACTTCAGCCCACTCGACCTGAGGAAAGCAAAAGTCAGGCGCTTTGATAAGCCAAGGTCTCCAATGTTATTATTATTATTTTCTACCATAGTATGCGCTGGTCAGGCCCTACTCCCCCAAACCCTGATACATTCGGGAGGGCGCACCAGCATTATCAACCAACGACCACTCCCCACGGTGTGGGGTTATTATTATTATTATTTCTTGTACAAACCTCGTAGATGGAGCCAGATCCAAATATCAAAGCATTGGTGATTCAACAGCAACCAACGCTGTTTCAACCTGTTATAGGTCTCATCAGTAGTGCTAGGTTGAACAACAAATAGAATGATGGACTCAACTATCCTTAAATAACAAGCCTTTGGTTCCTATTTATCCATTTTCTATAATATGGTCGTTACTTTCAAGTTGTCGATTCAATCAGTACGTTGACTTTATTTATATTACGAAGATGAGTAATTATTATCATGAATAGTGTATTCAAAATCACAGGTTATTGTTAGTACATTTTGTAAATAGTTCCTAAGATCTTAGAGCAATCAGGTTTTCACTCAATGCGAAAATAAGAATAAACAAGTGCAATGCTTTTCCCAAAAGGAATCAACTCATATTCACCTCTTAAGCACTGATTTTCTGGGTTAGTTATAACCAATGAATGACTTTGAGGAGGTCTGATCTCGAAAGTGTTCACATCCAATATTCCACATATTCTTTGAATCAAGTCATTTTTCAAATCATCTTCGGATGTGAGGGCCATATCTCTAGAAAAAAAATGATTTCTTCTTGATTATCAAAATGGCAACAAATACGATAAAAACAAATGCATCATCATGATTTTTGTGTTGTTTTCACCAACTCGGACCAAAAATAACAAAATAGTCATTAAATTCACCTCAAGCTCTGCTCCACCACAACGGCATGTCTTCTCCATATGAAGGATCCCCTCCTCGCTTCTAAATGAGATTCTAATTGCATCATCGACTTCCATATTTCTGGTTGGCATTGCTTCATGATCAAACAACGGAGAGGAAATATCACTTGATCATTTTCCACCAAAAATCTTCCATTCAATCCTATATCTTTGAACGCCTTACATTCTTCTTGACTATGTAATTTTCCTACCACGCAAAAAATTCCATAGATATTTAGTCGTTTTAATATTCAATGGAGTGTTTGGCTGGTATCGATTCAAATCGTAATATACATACCAGTACACTTTGGACTGCAAACCACAGCAGCATTGCAGCCTTTGCAAAAAATATATCCTGATGTTCTTAAACTTCGACAACAGTTGAGACATATCAACGGTCCATCTACTTGAGGTCCAATCAACAATGGACTTTCAGATAAAATCAGTTCACCTGCTTTTATATGTTTATTAGCCACCATATATCTGAAATAGATCGTTTGTTTCGCGATAATTATTACAGAAAATACTTGCATTGATGATGAATAATTAACAATTAGAGAGAACACACTTCGGACCGGTACATCGGGGTCGAATGGTACTAGTAGTTCCCAATGTTTCGTCTGCTGCTGCGGCAGACCTCAATAGTGGCATTCGAGGGTGATCTGAAAAGTTTCCGATCTAACGAAGATACAAGACATGTATGTATATAGTAGGGATGGTGAGTGTATACCCACAGCACTTAGACCACATGTGATCAATTGTACATCCTCCCGAGGAGTTGTCCTCCTAGGTCCTCATCCAGCCTGTCCTTTCCAGGAAGGTGGACAGGTCACTAGGAAACATCTCCTTTATATCGGCAGCTGTAGGCCAAGACTCGCCAAGACTCGCCAAGACTCGCCGAACACACACTCTCTTTGGCAACCTTCAGGTAACCCACGGCGGCTTCTGCGAAGGTTTTGGAAGGTGCAGCGATATTACTGTCATTGCGCGGCTTCTTCAACCTTCCTGGGGTCCCCTAGTGGAGGTGTTCGAGTGAGTGGAGGTGTTCGAGTGAATGTATTACATCACAAGGTGATCTGTTATGTCCAGCCTCATTACGAGCGGTAGATTAGGGTGGATATTTCTGTTCATCCCCAGCCACCGCCATAGATTGAGGTGAGCACTTTTGTCCAGCCTCGGAATTGTTTTTTTGTGTCTGTTTTGTTTGTTTGATATATGTGTGGTCCCACGAGTAGCTAGGGAAGAGTTAGTCACCTCTGGCAGAGCCCCACATTACCAGAGGTGGGCTGGTTCAATGAGGTTCTCCAAGGGGGTCGTTCACTATGCGGCCATTCAGCTGTCGGCACGATTCCTCACACCTTAGCTTGGGTAGGCTGGTCCTCGGTGGCATGTTTTGCAAAGGCTTTTGGGAAGTTTTAGTTCCCCTCACCCTAGTCATTTCTGCCACTGACCGTGAGTCCGGTGATCCCGTCCGTAAGGCCACATATTGACTTCCCGGACAGGGCTCCCAGCTCCCTGTCCGTTCCCCTATCCGCCACCTGGGGACGCGTCCGATAGGTAGCCCAACCCACGGGATACAAGACATTTTTTCACTTCTCCGAGCGATGATCCCATCTTTGTAACCCTATTCAAATAATACTCGGCGTTTTTCTCTTCAAAATAATTGTTCACGAAGTTGATTCCCTCTTCATCTGACAAAAATCTCTTTCCTCCGAGCGCAATTATTGACTGAGGAAACAAAAAGAAGTCGCTTTTGGCTAGATCTGGTGAGTAGGGCGGATGGTCAACAGTTCAAACCGTAATTCGTGGATTTTCGACATGGCATCCGCTGAGTTGTGAGACGGTATATGGGGAAATACTTCAGCTGCACATATGGTGTTCCTATGCCAGAAGCGTATCCTAAGATGTCTCGTGGGCTGTCCACCTGACCATTCATGTCGAAACATTTTTAAAGAACATAAAATATTAACAGTCAGTGGCATATCAATTCTTGAACTGTTGACATATGTACATTGTGATCAAAATACCTTCAAAAGAAACAGTAACAAACATACTCACATTACTAGGAAAAAAGAGAACTTTCAGGTACCCTTCAGGCACCTGGAGTTATCCAAAAAAATCACCAAATACTTTTGGTTTGTACTTGTACAATTCACTTCCACAGAAGTTGAAGAGTTTGCCAACACATATTTTCAAGCGAAAACTAAAAAATTGTTTTTGTCGATCTGCGTCCTCAAACAACAAAAGAATTTAGTAGCAATTTAGCTTTAATTTAGTTATAACACATTCGATAGATCATCATATGAAATTTTAATTGTATGTTTGTATGTTTTCATGACTAATAATATTTGTAAATGTAGGACCTTTTTAATGATTTTATTGACTTGTCCTGTATCACATTTGATCTTACAGGATGAACAAATTATTGTATCATATTATATTGTATTGTATTAGTGCGTTATCTTGGTGGAACAAGATTTTTTTCATGCAAATGTGGATATTTTTCCGCAAGTTCTTACTTCAGCTTATAAGGTAATGATGCGTAGTATGCTCTTGTAATGATTCGTCATTTTTTATGATAATTGATTGAAATAACTCTCTGACTATACCAAAAAACAGTCGCCATCACTTTCTCAGACGAAAAAACAGTTTTTGCTTTTTCTGGAACCGGTGCAGACCCCTTTGCAGTCTACTGTTTGGACTGTATTTTTGTTTGAGGCGTATAATAGTGTATCAAAGTTTCATCTACAGTCATTAATCGGCGCCAAAACTTGGATTCATTTTTCCTAAACTACACCAACAGAGGTTTGGAATTGTTGGTCTAACATGAGCAAACGCGGCACCCAACGCGCGGACAGCTTTCTCATGTCTAAATATTGATTTTATATGTGACAAACACGTTTTTTTCTTTGTGGTAAATGATGGAACTCTAGCTCTTATTTACGAGTGCTGCTATCTTCATGTTGAGGTCGGAAACTTTTCAGACCACCTTTGTAAATGAGAAACTATCTTTGTCCCCGCAGGTAATGCATATACCATTGATGATGTATGCCTGTCTGCCGCAGTAGTAGCTTTCATATTGAATATTTTAGTAACGTTAAATAGGTTTGTTGTATGGGTCTGAACCCTCTGGACATGTACGTTAAGGAGGTCGATTGGGGCTGAGCCTATGGCGAGAAGCGTTTACTGCGCAACCTCTGCTGCAGGCGGCCAGTGATGCAAATTTGTGGCCAGGTTTGTGTTTAATAAACCCTACAAAATGCAAATAAAACAGAACACAGAGTCAGATGCAACAAATGCAATAGGCATATATACAGACGGCTCAAAAATCAAAGAAGTTTCAGGATCTGGAGTGTACTCCAGATCACTAAGTCTAAGGATTGAGTGGGGCATGGGAAAAAATACCAACGTGGTTCAAACAGAACTGGCTGGTATCTCAATCGCCGCAAAAGAAATAACCAGGAAAGGAAATTTTGGCAAAAACATAACAATTTGTACCGACAGCAGACAAGCCCTATTAGCCTTGAACAGGCAACGTGTTACCTCAGGACTAGTACTGAAATGCCACCAAGATTTGGAGGATGTACAATGGGTCACATGTGGCCTAAGTGCTGTGGGCTTACATTCACCCTCCCTACTCTACAGATACAGGCTTCTTGTATTTTTGAAAACAGAAACTGATACATCAAGCATGAAACTTGGCAGCGCGATTTCATAGATATTTCATTGGAGATATTCAACAGTTTACCTATTGATGTCACCGGTTTGTCAGAAATAAAACAAATGGAAGTTGAAATTGAAAGGGAAGAGATGATTTTTTTGGGAAAGAAAGGTTTTGCCCTTCTACTTCTTCAACTTTATGCAAGAATGTTTTTTGTATAAAATACTCCTTTCAATTTGAACAATAGTCCTATGGCTGGGATTAAATAAAATGAGCTAATGAATGTCATTACGTACAATCATCGATGACATGAATAAATTCAACTCATACGTGACATAAAGTCGCAATTTCATAGATCAATTGAGTGTTTCATCTTGTAATGTTATCCAGATTGGTGCTAAAGAAGCAAAGACAGGTGTCTTATCCTGAAACATCGACGTCTGTCAATGCATTTCTCCAATGTCCCCTCCCCTTTTATTTTTTGAACGGGTCAACTCAAAAAGTTGAAATCAGGAGAAAAAATTAAATGGAAAGGGAAGTCTTGTGACACATCTTTTTGAAGCTCCTGACAAATGCTTCACAACCCTAGAATATAATATCAATATCTTCAACTACTACAAAATGGCGGAACTTTTAATAATTGCCTGAATACGTTGACATTTAACTACATAATATGACGTAATAAGCTTGAAGTCAGTTCGGAAGGTGATCGAAATGGTTGCCTTGAACTTCTTGACATATGAACAATATTGAAGCAGGTTCAGTTTCGTACACCTTTTGCTTCAAATAGCCCCATAAAAACGTCCAAAGGTGTCAAATCTGGCGAACGGGCTGGCCATTCTCTAGGACCTCGGCGGCCAATCCAACGACCGGAAAAAGTAGTATCCAAATAGTTTCTAACTTGTCTGGAGTAAATGTGGTGGTCCTCCATCTTGTTATAATATAATATCAATATCGAATTCATTAGGATTCGCTTCGACGATTTCAGTGATGAGAGGGTCAACAGTAGTTTCCAGCATATTCAAATACAGTTCCCNAGGTAAATTTGAAACAGGAAAAAAACGCGGAATTTTGAAAATTTTCCAGAGAGACTATCAGATAAAGAAAACATATATTATCAAATAAAAAACATTGACTTGAAGAAGGAAATCAACTCTATAAAACCAAAACAATTCATTGAAAAAAATTAATGAAGAAATCACACAGAATAACTGAAAAATATCGGTTTGAAAAATGATAACAGGAAATTTTTATGGCTTTTCCTGGAACTTCTTACCATGGAGAACTTTATAAGAGTATAGTTTTCCATTACAAATTTCAATTTTTTCAGATTATGAAAAGTAAAACGTTCCAGAAAAGGTCAACAAAAACTCCTCAAATGTTTTACGTATTTTTTATTGGTCGTTAGATGTTAGTTAATACTTTTCAGATAAATCTACACTCTTACCTTCCAAACTTTTCATTCTTTTGAATACTGTAGATTCCTTCGCTCATTGTAATAATATTTGTATCAGCTGGTTTGGACAAAAATTTTCAGACTGAACGCCGTTTCCGGAACAAAATCAAACAGCGGGAATCTGTGCCATCATAATTAACATTGTGTTATAAGAACTAAAAATATCTCGAATCGGAAAGGTATGGCAGGGCAGACACTATTTGAAAGCATGCCAAGAAAAATGCTGTCGATCCTGATTTATTCGTTTCAAACAAGTATCACCCTTTGGATTTACGAATCATGATCTATGAATGCCACTGGCCGAAAATTATTCGAGTTAATTAATTTTGTGAAAATTTCTACCACCTAATGGAAGAATAGATGTAAAGTAAATAGTTTTTTCATACACAAGGAATCATATTATTTTTTATTTTATCATTTTCTCATCAATTACAAATTTTGGCTTTCTATATGTAGTGATCTACAGATGTGGCTTTCATTAATTGTGCATGAATATTTGGAACTCCAAGATGAGTCTTTTTTTATTGAAAAACAATTATTGTTTACTGTTCATGTGTTTATTTCGACTCCCATGAAGTTCAAAATATTGAATCGTTAAAGCACAAATTCAAAATCGAATCAATGCTACCACCTATTTATCGTGAGGATAATGAAACCGATATATTCGAAGCTCTCTACTGTACTGTATTGTTGCCAATAACCTGGAAATTACAAAGAACATGAGTAATAAGGGTTCTTGGTAATTTACTGAATAAAATTATTTTTGGTGATTACCAGGTAATCCAGCTCATTAAAGAACAGACATCCTGGCATTTATGTGTGACATAATGGGAAATGTTGACAAAAATCAAGTAGTTTTCATAAAAGAGCTCTAAAACAACGTATTTTGAACTTATCATTTCAACATTCTTCTTTAAAAAATTATTTAAATACTTAAAAAAGAGGAATGAAATAATGCATTCAACATTTGAATGGATTCGTTTCTATTTCACCATTTGGCAACATCGGTTATAGCTAATAAAGGACAATGAATCTGTTACGTATATGAGACAAACAAAAATGATATAAATCAGAAGCGTGCTGTTCTGTTTACTTATGTTCCGAGTTCCGAGACTTTCTGTGACATATGATTTTGTGCACCTAACCTATCTTTCTCTATATAAATAAATACCAAAACAATTGTTGTTTAATTGGCTTGTGGAGGTGGTATTGAACTATAATTTATATTTTGCCTTAATTGTTGATAGATAATGATAGATAATTTTCCTTTTTTAAAGTAGAATATCTTGGTAACCTGAATTCTGATCTAACATTCTAGGCGCTATTGTCAATATGTGAATTAGAAACAAATCCATTTAAAAATTAAAACCCAATATTTGAAACATCAATTTGAATACTTTTCGAAATGAATTTGAAAAACTCATGAATTAAACTCAACTTTATTTTGTTCAAACTTGCATTTGCTGTAATAACCCAAATTGAGGAACATTCCCCATT